ATAATTCCAGCAGCTTTGACAGGGAAAAAAAAAAAAGTATTTTTATAAAAAAAAAAAATGTAGGAATTGCTTTCATGGGAAGTCATGCAAATGAAATGTACTTACTTTACTGTAGGAATTAGGTTTTGTTGTGGTTTTAACAGTCGCAAACGATACCACAAGCACCTTCCATATACATTTCTTATATTCTTTAATCGAATTTGCTCTGTAAAAATAAAGAGAAAGATTATGTTTAACCAATGTGACAAAAAGCAGAAGTACAGACATGCTCACTTCATCCGGGAGTAGGTAGCACAAGGTCAACTGGAGGGTTAACAAAGGACCCAGCAATACTGTAGGGGAGAATGTTTTTTATCCACTTAAGTGACACTGCACATCCATAAGCCTTAAAAGTTAGTCAGGTTATTCTCCGCTGCCTGAAACTAATCTATTCTATTTTCCACATGCCACACAGCAACCATCACTTATGAGCCCAGCCTTTGCCCAGCTAACTTGCACCTGTAAGTTTTACTTCTACCATTTTATACTCAATGGAAGACTCCCAACAAGTCTTCCATTTCCATATGTCAGTTCCTGTGTGCAGGAAAAACAAATAAACCCAAAAAATCTAACCCACATAAAAAACAGCATTTGTATACAACTGGAGTGCAGTTAGAGCAACAACTATTTCCTCAATTCAAAATATGATCCATTTTCCTCCTGTTTGCAAAGTCTGCTTTTATAAGTTGCCTTTGTTTAGGTTCTTCCTGTTGAAGGGGAAAACGAAGCAAGAGTAAGGTAATAGTTATTTGTAAGCAATATAGCTCAGTAATACAGGTCCCTGACAAGAGAGTATACCCATTAATGACAAACTAGCCAACAATATTGCTTCCTCTGTCCCTTTGGGACAGGATGGAGCTGGAAGGAAATTGTCACGGTGATGTTGACAGTATAAATACAAGGCATGGAAGCTCTCTCTGTTAAGAGAGTTTCAGTCTTATTTCAGAGTTAATCAAGACCAACTTAGTCTTGGTCAAACAAGTCATTTGTGCTAAAAAAGGTATGATGCTAAGCAAATAGCTTGTAGAGAATTTCTCTAAGCAGTGAAATTACATGATATAAAAGATAAATAGGATTGAAGTCACTTAAGTAACTTGCCTATCTGCAGGCTCTGCAGTCTAACTTGCAACACTTTTAAGTGAGGTCACTGTAATTACCTTACATGCAAAGGAATAAGACCACTTGGCCCTTTTCAGGCTAAGGGTGAAAGAATTAAAGAAAAAAAAAAAAAAATATCATCCTGACTCAATACATTTAGATATTGCTGGTAAATAAAGTGACTAAATTTACCAATTTAAAAGAAGTTTGAATTACCTAAAAGGCAGGAATTATATTAACAGCATTGATCCAAAGCACATGTTAATCACATCCTAAAAAGTCTTAAATCTCAACTTTGTACTTTTAACAAGGTGATGCCCTCAACTAAAATAGCAGTTATGATATACAGAAACATTTCTATTTTACAAATTTCTAAAAGGTGATTGTAGGAGACAGTGACAACCTCGGTTTAGTTATTATGAAGATATTGGGAAGACATCAAGCTGGCATTTCAGGACAAAAAAAAAGTTGATGGCATTAAAGACTAGACAGATTATTAAATTATGAAGACTAAAAAGCCCTGCTACAGAAATGAGGAAGAAAATATTCTGGGGGGTTTAACTGATCACTAAACAACTATGAGCCATAGTGTGATTCTTTTACCTAAAAGGCATCAATGATACCTGAACAAACCAGGCATCACAAGCTTCATAGAGGACACATGTAGAACCATAAAATTATTTGGTTTGGAAGGGACTTTAAGATCATCTAGTTCCAAGCCCCCATCATGGACAGAGATACCTCAACACTAGACCACATTGCTCAAGCCCCATTGAGCCTGGCCTTGAACACGACCAGGGATGGGGCAGCCACAGCTTCCTTGGGCAGCCTGTTCCAGTGCCTCACCACTCTCAGTAAAGAATTTCTTCCTTGTATCTAACCTAAATCTCCCCTGTTTAAGTTTAAACCCATTACCCCTTGTCCTATCGCTACAGTCCCTGATGAAAAGTTCCTCTCTGGCATCTTTGTAGGCCCCCTTCAGATACTGGAAGGATGCTATGAGGTCTCCACACAGCCTTCTCTCCAGGCTGAACAGCCCCAACTTTCTTAGCCTGTCAAACATGTTTATGTTAACCATAAATTGCTCATTTCAAATACTGTCAATAAATTCAGTTGTGTGGTGCTGAAGCAAGATGAAGCCAGGTTCAACCACACTGACCCAGATCACCTACATGATTCAATCCCTATCACAGCCCCACAGACATTTCTGCTTGTCCAGCACAACCAAGGGGCAGTACTGTTCGGTACCAGTCTTAACTGACTACGCTACCTGCAGAAATGCCTGAAAGTAATGTGGAAATCATTAACACAGCACTCTTGGAGAAACAGAAGGTGACTAAGAGAATTTTGTTTACTTAATCCTCTGAAACAAAGTATAACAAGATATGACTCCTTTTACTGTTCCTGCTAGAACGTTTTTAACAAGCTGCTGTGCCTTGTCTTTAAAAGTCTGCGTCACCCTGTGACAAAATGCCCCACTTCTCAAACCTGCCTGCTGTTCAGCCCCACAAGTACCAGATGACCCTCTCTCTTCCCTTTTCTGCTTCCTCCCTGCAAGAATAGCCAACACTCTTTACCTTACCATGCCAAAAAGCTTCCAAAAGGCCCTTAGGGGAAGGCATCGTAGAGAAAAGAAAAATAGTTGTGCAAGGTAAACTAAACAGTTGGCATAAAGTCAAATTAAAACTGACCACTAAAGGTGGTTTATAATAATCAGAGAACTGATGTTTTAGAACAGCCTTCCTGTAACAGCTGCAGGAGTCACATTTTGTGACCAGTGTGACAACAGCACCAAGGAGGAAAAAAAAAAAAAAATTTGAAAAAAAAAAAAGAATATATAAATGAGGCAAGTGGTGAGAGTGAAAACTAAGCCCTCTGGAGAGGTAAACAGCACACACCTAAGTCAGCTAGAGTCCCTTTCAATGACGTCCTGGAACAGCTATACTGCACAGGGAAACCTCAGAAAAAAATACAGAAATAAGACATGATGCTATGCAGCCATCATATTTTTCGCACATGTATCTAAACAACTCTGAATCAAATCTAATTACAGTTGATTAAACCACATCAAAACAAAAGCCCATCATTAATTTCTCTACAATCTTTGGATGGCAATGGTCTCATTTGATTAACGGCCCCAAAAGGAAAGAGGGCACTAAAAGGATGAATGAATGTTCATAGTTACCTGTCTGGAACATAAAGGAGAATTAAATCCTTCCCAAAAGGCTAAAGTCCAGACTATTCAAATTATTTGGTGCTATCCTGAGACACTTCCTTTGTCACACGTCATCATTAACACATATGAACTTGTGGAATTCAAAAACAGGCAGCAACTCAGGACAAAGAAGGAGGAGTACAGACAACGTCTCTCCCATCTCAGGCAGAAAGCCATTGGCAAAAAATCACCCTGAATAAGAAAGCTATATTCTTGCTGTATCCAGGAAAAACAGGCTTCCTGTTTATTTACAGACAGTGTATGTGATTGCATCAAAAAAAAAAATACTGATCTCTTTAGGAAGAAGTTGGTTGCAGGAAGAAAAAAAGAAAAGCTAGCAAGAGCCAGAATACCAGATAATTACTGTGCTTAACAAAAGCAGCAATGTATTCCTAATGAGCAAGCTGTGGATAAATCGGTTCCTTTTTTAATTTGCCTTCCTCTCCCAAGGAGTTTCCTTTCACACAAAGGGATATGCCATGCCACTGAACTGGCACACTGTCCCTTCAATATCCTGCATACCCCAAGCACAGAGGAACAAATACATTACATGTTGCTCAGGGTAAAGCTTTGCATCGAAATAAGAATTGAATATTCTTTGAATTTTAGCTCCAGAATCCTTCCTCTGTCAGGGAAAGAGGTTCAGAGTCTGAAAAGCAGGTAAGAGTTCCCTGCTTCTCCTCACTCCAGATCACAGCTTACAACATAAGAGCACTTCAGAAACCATCCTTTGATATGAGATTACAGGGATTCAAAGCTAGGGGTGATGCATTTCCTCTAGTCAAAATTACTTCTCATTTCATGGGTAAAACCCTTAATAATAGTGAATCTCCCCTACAGTTTTAAAAATAGGTATTAAACAGCCTTGAAAAGCAAAGGCGTAATGCACTGTGGGTTTTGAATCCATCTCACCAACAATAATCCATGCATCAAAGTACTGTTAAAACACCCCTCTCAGATGAGGTTGTAGACTGCTAGTTCATTTCTCTAAATAATCTGGAGAAGCATCCCATGCTACTTTCATTTCCCCCCAAGACTGCTCCAGATGTATCCAAAATTCTCAAGATTCACAGCAGTTTTTCATCAATACAGCTCTCTTACTTTCAGAGGGTTCTCACAAGTGCCTATCATACTGCCTTCACTAATGTATGTGAATATCCAGTCAAAACTACATCTTAACACACACTTCAAGTTCTCAAGAAAGAAAACAATTACTAGCACAAAAGAAAACCAAAGCGCCATCTCTTTCAGTTATTCAGAAAGAGCTAGTGAGGTCCTTCAGTGGTACTGGTAGATATTTTAATGCAACACTGTTCAAAGCTTTTAGACAAATGAAAATTATACTGACACCCTAACACAGCTAAGCTATTAATAACTAAATGCGGAAAAAGTTAATCTTTACACTAATCTGCTTACCACTTCTGGATGAAAATAAAGTAATTAACAGGTATTTTAGACTTCTGCTTCCTTAAAGGTAGCTGTCTGTTTGGCTACCTACTTAGCTAGAGAATGAATACATATCACTGACCTGTACGTCTGAGATACAGTCAACTTCATATTGAATCCAAAGAGGTATGCAACATCTGGATGACAAACTCAGAGCAATTATTATGAAAGGGGGTAGGAAGGAAGACAATTTTTTATTCCCCCCCCCTATTTAATGACTAAAGCGACTTTCTGGAAGAAAGGTATCAGTAGAGAATGCTTAAGTCAACGACTCCTCTTTGTTAGAACTTACATACCTCTCCTCAATATCCAGTTCTTTAGAGAGAGCAATTTTAGGATGAATAAGCCAGAGGTGTCTGCTTTTTCTTGGGTATCACAGAACAGCTGAACATCTGAGACTGGAAGAGACCTCTGAAGATCATTTAATCCAACCTTGCTGCTCAGAGAAGGGTCAACAAAGCAGGCTGCTCAGCTCTGCCTGCAGGCCTTCAAACGCCTTCAACGGCAGAGACAACAGAGTCTCTTCAAGAAATCTGTTCTAGTGCTTGATCACCCTAACAGGGCAAAAAAATTTTCTCATCTCTGTCTCAACATCTCAACATTCATTCACCTGTCACATGACAGGTGAGGAACACAGGACAAACTTAGAAGGAAGCTGATGACAGGTTGGATTGGCCATTTCCATAGACTACATACAACCTGTGTCCTGCAACTCAACCATGCCTGACTTTAGTTTGGATGTTCACCCATACCTTACTTACTGGCAGACACTGCCCTTCCCCCCTGCCAGCCCATCATAAGAAGTCTTTGGCTTCTCATACAAATACTGTCTTCAGAAACCAAGCCCTTTACAAAATGCAGCAACTCAGTACTGTTTTATTGCATTTCAGCAGACAAACTTCAACCAGCACACGAGGAACACAAAGAACAGGCAATGGCAAGCAGCTCAGAAACACAAGCACTTCTGTTAGCAGAAGAATCTGTGACACACATGCTGGCATGACTTCACAAAACACGTTAAATACAATACCACAAAAAGAATGGACCACTTCTATGAGCAGTGACAATGGCACCAGACAGCTGGGCTATGCCGTTTCATCAGAAGATAAATCTAGGACACAAATCACTTTGGGGCGAACGCCATAACACAAACAAATACAACAGCACTGCATGAGATTTATTTCATTTTTATTAAGCCATGTAAGGTAACCTCACCCAGCCATAACTTCAGAAATTACTTCTGCCATACTCCTTCCTGACAGCGAAGGAGAAGTGGTCTTCAGTGTCCTACTATCATAAGTGCTTGAGAAATCTTATATATTTGTTTCTGAAGAAACAGAAGGATTTTTATCCTTAGGAATGCTTGACAAATGATCTCTATCTAGACCTAACCTTTTGTTTCAGGTTCTAGAGGCTCTGACAAGTACTCCAAAAGAAAACTTAAGGCAGAATCTTTTTCTTTTTTTTTTTTTTTTTTTTTTTTTTTTTACATCCTTGTGAGTTAAAATACAAGATTACACATTTGTTGGAGACAGGCAACTCTGGAAGAAAGGGAATGAAAAAAAGGTACACCTGGACTTATATAGAAAAGTTTTAATCACCAGAATCTTGTTTCAGCTACAACAAACAGGTCAGTTTTAGGAAAAAATACCACAAAGTAAGACTACCTGTCTTACAATCAGTTCTTGTTTCTAAAACATACAGAGTATTAGGGATCGTACAGTAAACGATTAGGGCAAACAAAAACTAAATGAATAAAAAAAAATATCCAGAATAAATGGAAAGCACCAGTTTTCCATCATTGTACCTCAAATAGTAGAAAAGAAGTGCAGCCTAGCCTCCTGTATCCTTTCCACCTTCAGGCTACTAAGAAAAGCAAAGGCAGCAAGACTAAAATACAGCTCCAGTGGACTCGTGTCAGAAAAAGAAACATAAGGTACATTTCAAACATTCTGCCCATCAGATGTGGACAATTCCCCCAAAGGAAAATGCTGCTTGGTTTGAAAAGGACTTCCTTCAGCAAGGAACACAGGCTGCAGTTCTGCAGCCCAAGAAACACCAAGATCACTTTGAAGACAAATCTTTCATAAAACTTACTTGCAGCGTGTCATCCTCTCTCCCTGTCCTGGAAACTTGTACTTGTGGAATGCATTAAGAGATGCAAGTAACACAGCATGCAAATCATGAGTAAACATTATGACTCAAGGGTACTGCAGCTCTAAGTATTAAACCTACTCTGTTAAAACTGAGGGTAACAGGCTCGCTGCAACACTGCTCTTTGAGAGTTCCTGATTTTGCTGGGTTTTATTCAGAGCTCTACAGTTTAAATGCTCTAAACTGTGCACTAAATAGGTTCCTGTTTCCTTTCAACAGCTGCGTATACGTATACATACACAAAATGTATACACGTACTTATGCAAAAGCTGAAGTCTTGGGATCTTTTCCTACTTCAGCAATCACAGAAATTAAACAATGGTATGGACAATTTATTTACTGATGTCTTGAACTGGGGCTCTCTGACCAAATTCATTTTTTAACCACAGAACCATTCCTAGAATAACAGGTCAGGAACAAAAGTACGAAAATACTAACCTACGGCAGGTAGGGAAAAACCCTCTTACTTTCAAAAGAAGCCACTGACAAACACTTTTAATGACATTTTAAAGCAGTAACCCATCTTCCCCAGAAACTAAGAAGCAGGATTCAAAGTCAGCAGCTTCTCCAAAGTGCAAAATAATTTCAAACATTGTAATAGGATTGACTTCTAGTGTAAAACCCCAAATTATGAGGCATAAAGCAAATTAAATTAATTTTAAAGTCTAAAATGCAGTTACTGAAATACAAATAATTTCAAACATTGTAATAGGATTGACTTCTAGTGTAAACCCCCAAATTATGAGGCATAAAGCAAATTAAATTAATTTTAAAGTCTAAAATGCAGTTACTGAAATACAAGAGCTTTCAAATGACCACTAGTATTTAACACTAGTATTTAAACTGGAAAGCATGTTTCAGAACTTTGAACTGACCATGTAAGTGAAGACTTACATGATCTGAATAGATGCTTTCCAATTTAATTGTCTATTATTTACTGTAAGAATTGTCTTCATTCCCCAAAGTCCATCTATAAAGAGGTCGTATCTAAGTTTGCCTCTCACTAAAATGGTTAAAGCTGAATACTCAGATCCTAACTGTTTTCAGAGAGATATTTTTCTGTCTAGTAAGTATTCATAAATAAAAAATATCACCTATTTTGAGTAATACGTTATTAACTATTAAAACTCCAAGCAGTTCATAAATCACAGGAAATCCTGTGAAAGACAGCAAGACCTCTTCATTCCTACAGCATGTTTTGCAGCAAGTAGATTAAGTGTAAAAAGGACAAAAAGCAACCTAACTTCTCATTCACACACAGTTCCACATGTATTTGCTGACCAAAAGACAGTATTTGTTACCAACAGCTTTAATAAACAGTAACGTAAGATGATTCAACATCTTGAAAGTTAACTTCTTTTCAGATTTACTTACTTGGACTTTCTGTTTACAATCAGCCTCACTGGTCTCAGGGCCCAGTTCCACATCACATTACTCCTAATCAAGCCATTTCCAAGCCGCCTCCTTCCTATTAGTACACAATCTCATTTATATGACAAAACCATCAGCGTGACTCTTGTAAGTTACACCATCTAAATTATGAAATCTATACTAGGGCTGGACCTACAGGTACATCAGCAGAACTTTAATGGAATCTGAGAGGAATCAGAAAACTGGGCATTTTAATAAGCAATGACAGCCATATGAGTCAAGATTAGCAATTTTAGATTAAATCAACAATGCTGGGCTCCAAGACTTAATACATCCTTACTCAGTAGCTTTATTTTATCAATTTGATGTGGTGAGGATACCAGAACACATTCAATCCAAATCAAATGCAGACAAAAGTCACCTCGGATACTACAAGTCACTAAAAATGCCTGTATTCAACATTGTTCTGATGCAAACCTTGAAAAAGCTGTAATAAAGAACAGAATTAGCGGACACCAGGATAAGTACCATGCATCCATTTATTAGTGGGGCTTTTGTAAAGAAGTCCTTTAAAGTAAGTAAATAGGAGAAGAGGAGGTGCTCAGTATATGGTTTCCAAAAGGTTCTGAAAAGTTCCTCTTAAAAGTCTTTCAGGACAATCATCTAACTGTTGCAAAAATAAATATGTGACTAGAAGACAGAGTGAATGGCCAATTCTCACAGTAGAAGGAAATTACCAGGAGTTCTGCAGGAATCTGCGTTGGAACTATGATACTCACATTTCACTAATTAGTAACTTGGGTAAGGGGGTAAACTGTAAAATAAAGCTTCTGCATAATATTAACTTCTTCTGGGTAACAAGGGCAAGAGTATTCTGAAAAATTGTAAAGATTAAGCAAGTGGACTACAGAATGGCACACGGAATTCAGGGTATGAAAACGTAAAGAGTAATGGGGACTATCCTAATTTCATGTATATAAGGATGAGCCTGGCGTTGACCATTACCTCTCAGGAATGCAATCTTGGGTGTTGTGAGAAACTGCTTTATAAAAACCTTAGCTGAATGATTATTAGTTATAAAAAGCAAAGCAGATGGTTAGAGCATTCCTGTGAAATATGTTAGCTTGAGGTATGTACAACCTTGAGCATGATGCAAAGTCCTAGTCCCCACCTCTCAAAGAGAGGCAACTAGAAAACAAGCAATTAAGGTGAACAAGGACCACAGACTGTACGAGAAGATTTATGCCCAAAATACAAGCTACAAATCTTTCATCCAGGAGGGAGAAAAGTGCAAGAAGAGGTAACAGAAGGCCGTAAAAAAACTTATGTGACAGACAGGATTGAATGTTTATTGCCTCCTCCAGTAGAGCAAATAAAGGTTGTCACATAAAATCAGAAGCAGATGCAAAACAAAAATTATTATTTGCAGTCTAGGCAGCAGAGCTGGTGAAATCCTGGCCACAGGATGGTATAGATGCCATGCTAAGAGAGTCAGTGAACTGAAAACCACTGGAAACAGAGAAGGTTTCCAATGCAAATGAAGCACCATTTATGCTTGTCTAGTTGTTTGCTCCTTATGGCAGACAATTTTATAATACTACGTAAAGACAATATCTGACCTGACCCAGTATACCAACTCTTTTGTTTCTAAATAAATAAATAGAAATATTTGAAACTTTCTTGGTAAGCCTTTGTAGAAGTCACAATTCTAGCAACTGTCTTAGTTTCAAATGGTTTAACCAGCCAACCAACATAAATGCACCTTCTGAATCCAAAAATGCATTACCTCCAGCAGATACTTATATTTAGAATACTAGAATGCTTGTATGCAATTTTCTGTACAAGGGAAATATAGTGAAAATATGAAAACACCTCTTCAGTCTTCTCAATTGTACACTTAAAACCTGGTGCAGACACAAATCTTTTTGCTCATGAAATAAATGAAGTACCTATTTTGAGCTTGTCCCTATTCTTGATATGGTCCAGCCAGCCAGCATGACCTCCCAGACCATGAAATGGAGGCATGTGTATCAGGTCCTGGCTAACAACTGTGGAAAAGAACTACAAATCCCTTACTGGGAGAAGGCAGCACTGCAGGGTGAAAGGATGAAACAGCAGCCCCACCCTAGACTTGTTGAAATTACTGCAGATCTGCACCCTTCTTAACAGGCATGCATTTGAAAGGAGGGCTGAGTGGAGAGTGAATGAGACCAAAATCCTCACTCTGGAATCACTGTTGATCCCATTCCTCATCGTTTACCTTGCTCCTCTCTCAGAATTCCTACTCCTCCTGCAAGAATGGTTTAGCTGCTCACAAAACTGTAACAGAACCATCACACTTCACCCTTGAATATATGAGGTTAAATAGCACTAACTTGAATTCCCTAATATGTAGCACGTAGTTCAGTGTCATCTACTTGACTAATCAAGATATCTTTGTAGCAAGTAGAAAATTAACAACCAGATATATAATAAAACTTTTAGAATACTGTTTTCATAAGCCTCCATAACAAAGATTGAATATAAAAATAAATAGAAACAGCTTTACGTTCATGTACATGTAATGAGAGATAAAGTTCTTGTAATAGCTTGATCATTATCAGTTCAGGACAGTCCTGAAGCTGCTTAATCTTTAATAAAGGGTTATTAATTTAATTTTACTGCTAGGAGGCTACAATGCTTACAGTAAGATTACAATACTTAAAAAATAGTCCATGAAAAGACATGCCTTTTTTTCCGAATAACACAGCAGTTTAGATTACTCTGTCCAAATGCTTTGTTTTGAGAAGTATTTTTAGAGATAATT